AATTAACATGGGAGATCTGTGTCATCAATAACCAAGAACATGCACCACTATAGAACACTGTCCTACCCATTATCTAGAATTGATTTTAAAAAAAGGTTCCACTAGTCCTAGAGGAATTCATCATTTAAAATGATGATTTTATTTTTGTGGTTATCAAATTCAAGTATTTTGAATTCTACATAACTCTTGCTGCAGAAATAGGCCCTGACTGTGTGTGTTAAAAGTGGAACTATTTAACCAGACTCTGATTTCTTCTCTTTTCCTTTCTTTTCTTTGAATTTTTCTCTAATTCCTACTCCACACTCCTTTCTTATTTTTAATGTGAAGTCTGCATCTAGTAAGAGGAAAGTTAAGTGTGTGTGTGTGTGTGTGTGTGTGTGTGTGTGTGTGTGTGTGCGCGTATTAGTCTGTCTGTCTGCCGGCTTGTCTGCCTGTCTGTCTCTCCAAGCTTCCTTCTCAGACTTTAGATTTTTTCATATGTGGCCATTACAGGCTGATGTTGACTCAGTTACCAACTCTAATCATTGGTGCTATTGGAGTTCATGCCACTCCTTTGGCGCCATCTGGAGGTACTCTATAGACTGTGCATTTATGGATGAATGTTGAATACTTGGCATATTCTTCTTCTTCCTGGTGACTAGTTTTGGAAAAACCAGAAGTTAGGACACTACATCTGTTAAGGTTAAGGTCAACAGGCAAGCACACATTAAGTAGAAGTGCAGTCCAGTTGCAATTGTTTTGTGTACTTGCTGTATATAACAACACACAATGTTCAAATAGACCTTTGATTTCTTTAATTTGGATATAATCCTCCAATAATACAAAATAAAATCCATTCATCCCTGCTCATGCTGTGTGACTGCTGTTCATGTTTACCCATCCACCAGGGTACTCAGTATTGGAAGCACCTTCTCCTTATGGACATTACAAGAATGCCAATGTAATGTTTGGGCTCTCCACCTGTCATCCCTCATCCTTGCCACTCAATCAGCCCATCTTCTTTTTCTATTATATAGTTCCCTAAATGATAAATTTTACTCATGTTCAGTAAAGTTCCTTATTGGTCATATATTATAGCCTGATTACACCTACCATGTTCTTCTATACTGCCCATTATGTGATATTCATTTTCGCTTCTTTGAAGACTAATGAGTTGAGTCTCACAACCATTTAACAATACGGGTAAAATATTGGTTGAAAAGATGGTCTTTTATTTCTGGGTGAAGTGTGTGATTCTGAGAGGCCCTTTGCAATTTCCTAAAAGCAATCCAAACTAGTTTCTTCATTCTATTTAAAACATTATCTACTTGTACTGTCTGTCAATGAAATAGATACTGATCGACATATCATAATCAGGCCAGTAGACAGTCTTCATCCACCTGATTTTTCCTGTATGGATGGTCAGGCCAAATTCTTGTGAGTGGTTGCAGAGCCTTTTCTTTTTTATCTTTTTTTGGTGATTTTAAAAATTAATTAATTTATTTTTAGTTTTCAATAATCACTTCCATAAGCTTTTGAGTTTTAGATTTTCTCCCTTTCCCTACCCAAGACAGCAGGCAATCTGATATAGGCTCTACATATATATTCCTACTAGACATATTTTCACATTAGTCATATTGTAAAGAAGTATTAGAACCAATAGGAGGAACCATAAGAAAGAAGAAACAAAACGGAGCAGAAGAAAAAAAAAACAAATAGTATGCTTCAATTGCAGATCCCTTTCTGAAGGCGCTGACAAGTTCTAGGGCTTGAAGCGTCCAATACAATGTTATCCATAAAGGACAGTGTCTGGAGCGGTGGTGCCAAACTCAGCTTGAAATGGGGAGTGCTAAATGATACAAAGTCCTCCTCCCCATTGGGTGCACATCGACTATATAATAACATTATTTATGTTTCATTGTATTTTTGTTTATTTTGTCAAATATTTCCCAAGTACATTTTAATCTGGTTCAGGCCGTACTTTGGAATGTTGCTGGCTGCGCATGAGTTTTACTTCTGATCTGGAAAGAATTCGCCACCCACAGGGAATCCCTTTTCAGCACGGACACTGTGCTGGAATTCCTCCATCACAGTGGCCAGTACTTTTGGAGGATTTGCATCCCCCTGTTTTATTCCTTGTCTGTTGTTTATAATAACAGAGCTATTGAAGATTATTTCTGGAAGGAAGGAAGGAAAGAAGCCTTTATTAAACACCTGTTTTGTTCCAGGCATTGTGCTAAGCACTTTACAAATATTATTTCATGTAGTCATCATAACAACTCTGGGAGGATGATTGTTATTCCCACTTTACAATTTAAGGCTTAAATGACTTGCCGAGTTCATACAGCAAGTAAGTATCTAAGCCAGATTTGAATTTAGGTCTTTCTGACTCCAGGCCCACTTAGCTGCCTCTAGGCCATATTCCTGTTATGTCTTTCAAAGAATCTTGAATAATTCTGATGTAATGAATTGGAGACACCTCCTGGGAGGAGAGCCTTTAGGGTAGTACATGAATACAGAATCACATGCTTTTTAATAGCAAACAGTAAGCAGAGGAGAGGGAAGCTGCATGGTAGAATAGAAAGAGCACTCCCTCTGGAGTCAGAAGTCTCTGATACTTACTACCTTTGGGACCACGAGAAAATCACTTAACCTCCCCATGCCTCAGTTTCCTCATTTGTAAAATGAGGATGTTAGATTCAATGGCTTCCAAGGTTCCCTTCCAAGACCAAATCAGTGATCCTATACTCTTGTGTTCTCTAGATATCTTTCAGTCAATTGTGTATTTGTAAAGAGATGGTTCATTTTAAAATATTGCTTATGAAAAAGCATGGTTGTTCCATATTAATAACCTCACTAAGCATGTTTTCAATGCATGTGTAAATAAATGTCATGTAGGTATATTTTACAAATGGGAAATTAGGCATATAGGTAGTTGTTGATGTTTTCTCAGTAGTCCTTTCTTGATATGATATTGGTATTGATAAGTTTTGAATTATATTTTTCCATGCCTTTGGTTTCTTTTCCTCCTTTAGATATCCCATGAATCAACCCTTACAGCTGTGTTGCCTGTAGTGTGGATCTCTTCTATGGGCACTTGGTCCAAACCAGTTATTTTTCTTGTTTGTTTTTTTTTGTTGTTGTTGCTATTTATCTTCTTCAATGCTGTCTGTACCCCCATCTTTTACTACATTTGCTACTTTGATGTTAAAGCCCAAGAGTGGTGACTCTACTGTCCTTTGATGGGGAAGATAGTTTGTTATAAAAATCTTTTCCGTTTTTCTTCTGTTTGTTGGGGTCCTTCCCTTTTCACCCGTCATTGCCTTTGGGATGACTGCCTAGATGGATATCATGCCAAATTTTCTTTGAAATGTTTTTATCTCCTATTCTTCTGTTTTGCTTTTTAAGGCAATCATCAACTTTCTTGGTTAGATTTTACAAAAGAATTTATAAGATAAATACATGTCATATTTGGCCACCATCTCCCTCTGTTCTGCAAGTAAATCAGGTGTTTTCTGATTATGGTGCTTATTTTGATCGCCTAGGTATGGTAATTGATTCACATTGGTTAAATTTCTGCATACAATTTTTATTTAGTGCCAATGTCATTTCTGCTAGCCATTGTCCATTTTTTTTGGGTAATCAATCACTTGCTTAATTCAGGATTGATTTATTTCAATTGTATGCCACACTCTTTTCTTATTATTCGTTAAGCATTTTTTTTACCTTTGCTCTGACAAACCATGGTCTGAGTGTACATAGACAGCTGATTCTCAGATGACTCCCACATCAATAATGAGTCTTGTTCTGTCTGTTAAAATATATTAAACTATTTTTTTTGGTGATTTTTTTGAGCTTGTCACATATATATAGTGCAACACTGATTTTTGTGAAGAAAGCATGCAAGACATAAAGGTGTGAGGTTTCTGTATAGTCTCTAGAAATCTTTGGTCTATCATATTCCTTCTTTCTTGACCCATGTTTTCCCATAGATTTCTCACTATTTTAATTTATTTTACCTTTGCATTCAAATTACCACATATCAAAGTGTGTTTAAATATACATGGAACATAGTACAGTGCAGAACCACTTTCATTAAAAAACCCTGAATCATGGCAGAGGAGAGGGACAAGTGAACAAAGTCACCTACTTGGATTTGGGGCACGAGTCAGTTAATGTTGACTGTGGTTGAGAAGTAAAATAGGCAATGCATGTTTGTTGTACTCAAGTTATTTTGATCAGTGGTTCTTTATACATAACATTGAGTTATTTCAACAACAGTCACATGCAGCAGCTGACTTTACAGATCAAGATTTAATAGAGAGAGAAATAATCATCATCCTAGGACTGTGGAGTAGGTAGGTGGTGCAGTGGTTACAGCACTGGGGTTAGAATGAGGAAGACTCATCTTTGTGAGTTCAAATGTGACCTCAGACACTTACTAGCTGTGTGACCCTGGGCAAGTCACTTCACCCTGTTTGCCTCAGTTTCCTCATCTGTAAGATGATCTGGAGAAGGAAATGTCAAACTATTCCAGTATCTCTGTCAAGAAAACTCCCAAATGTTGTTGGACATGACTGAAAACAATTGAACAACAAAAATAGTGCTGTAGAGCTGGAAGAAATCTTTAGAGGTAATCTCATCCAACTCCTTCATTTTACAAATGAGGAAACTGAGTCACTGGAGGAGGAAGTGATTAATCCTGGATACACAGGATTAATAGCAGATTTGAGGATTTGAACGAGGTCAAGTATGGAGCCAGGTAAGTCATAGGCTCAATGAGGAAAAAAAAGTCTACCTGTATATCCTAAATGACGAACAATTCAAGGAAAACTTGTACTCAGAAAGGAGATACTGAGTGTGTTCTCTTGCTTATTACTACCCAGAATTCTGTGTCTGTTCCAGGCTCTACTGGAACCTATCTGGTGTTTGAACATTAAGAGTAAGGCTAGATGTATTTTCCTTTTACCCTATGTCTTTGTTGCTGGTTCTGAGAAGATTACTATAAAGTAACTCACAGCTAGAACAAATCTCTATTTTATTTGAATGAATCATCTATCAGAGATATATATTTTTTAACATAGCATCTTTGGTGCCTGGGGAACTAGATATTTGGGATTTCCTTCTGTGGGCACTGAGTCATGTCTTTGATTCTGACTTATTTTGAAAATTGCTTTGTATGGCTTCTTTCTGAATCTAGTGCATTTATTTATTTAATGTGCATTTTTTCCCCAGGATATCCTGTGAAAGCTCCTGAGCTTGCTTACAAGTTGCCCAGTACTAACAGTGCAGCCGCTCCAGCCCTGTCTTTATCAGTCAGCTTTGTAGCTTGTTGGCTTGCAAGAGAATACAAATTAAGAACCTACTCAATGCCACATTTTTGGGGGAGGAAATTGATTTACATTCCCTTTTAGTTTCTTTTTCTCCCTGAGGACAATAAATCAGCAACTGCTTGTTATAATTTCTTCAGCAGACACTGATAAGAAATATCCATTTTACAGAGCCTGAGCATCTGGTGTCCGGCAGATCACCACCTGAAAGGGAAGATGTGAAGGTAACTATTTGTCCATTCTTTCCTGAATAGCTGATAGAAGAAAAAATGGCATTTGAGAAAATATTTTCAGGGTCATAATGAACAACTATCCAGAAACTTCTCTCAATTATATTAAAAAATAGTTTGAATTTTTTTTTTTATTGAAATGAGAATCTTGATCCTTCATAATCAAATCAAATTATCTTTCTGGGTTGTTTCCTGGGGAAGATAATGCAGAAAATTACCCCCAAATAAATTTGTCCCTTGAAGACAAGTGTTTGCCATTGAAAATGAGTCTAAATCATAAAAGTCCTTTCTGAGGAGGGAATAATCTGTGGGAAACTTTAGGATATCACCCTGTCCCCCAGAGTATCATCCCCTTTCTGCTTTCAGTTCTTAAATAGGAGTCCTTAAATTCAACCTGTCTAGATGTATCCCAGGCTGATTTTGTGTTTACACATGATGTTATGTTAGTAATCTGTTCTCTAATAACATTTTCTGAAGTGGTTTATCCAGGTTCCAAAATGTAGGAATAATTATAGTGCTAGTATTTTAATTTATAGTTTGTATGTAAATGGTATGGGGAAAAAAATCTGTCTGTTTTTTCCCCAGTGCTTCACAAATCCTGTGGTTCAGCCAACTGAAAATGAAGATTTGGACTTCGGTAGGTACTTAAATGTCACTTCCCATTGTTTTAATTAATGCTGGTATAAAGTTTTGGATTCTAAGAGTTCCACTTTTGTTGTTGTTGTTGTTATTGTTCAGTTGTCTTTCAGTTCTGTCTGAGTCTTTGTGATCCCATTTAGGGTTTTCTTGGCAGAGATACTGGAGGGGTTTGCCATTTCCTTCTCCAGCCCATTTTACAGATGAGGAAACTGAGGCCAACAGGGTGAAGTGACTTGTCCAGGGTCCAGAGAGTCAGATTAATGGAGGGTAGAGTAAATAGGGACTCCATATGGGGTATGTAGTCTTTTCTTTTGAACCCCACCCTGGTATATTTTTATGTCCAGCATCACTTATAATGGAATTTTGCCAGGGTTTTCCCCTTGGAGGCTTAGGGCTGCTTATTGACAGCAGAAGCAGCAGAAACATAAGCTCTCTGACCTTCATCAGAGAGCTCCGGAATAAGTTCTGGGATGTCTGCTCTGGATATTTGGAGCAAATGTGGGACTCCTTTATAAAGCAGGTGCCAGATGCCTAGAAGGTGGGACTGTGTCCCTGTTCAGACTTGGCCAAACTGTGGAGACTGTCATCTGCTCAGGAGAATCCTGTTTTAAACATTTCCCTTTCCTTGCTATCTCTTTCCTCAAGGTAGTTTCTATTTCTTCCCCCCACCCCTTCCCCTGATTTACCAGTGCCTGAATGGGGTCTGTGAAATTATCTAGGAAATTGGAGGCATGACTAATAACTTACCCCAATTGCTTGGGTACCAAAATGTGTGAACAGCACAGCTTTACAGCAGCAAACCCTGGAGGATATGGTTGGATATGACTGATGAATTCTGTAAACATATAAGCAAAAATATGATAAGCACTTGCTTTTTTATTCACTAAAAAAGCAGGGCACCAAAATCCAATCAATAAATTTCTTTGGACTAAATGAAGACCTGAATGACAGCAACAAAAGCCATCCTCCTCCAGTCCACTTCTAGTAACTGGGTAGGGGAGCTGAGAGTAGTGACCAGAGTGAGTCAGTAGCTAAGGTCAGAGGAACTTCCACTGATGAGACACTCAGAGTACTGCAAAACAAGGAGGTTCACTTCAAGCTACGTGAGTGCCTGAGGGCCCTTGGCGAATCTGGCAGATGTGTTGGTAAAAAATCAGTTTGGAAATCATAAAGTACAAAGCAGAACAGAAAGGAAGTACACACAGTGGTGGTGAACTCAGCTGCTAGTCCTTGGCTATCAGCCAGAAGCAGCTTGGATATTTCATTCTTCATAAGATACTGTAGTAATTAGAGCAGGAACTCAGATTAACACCAAAAGAAAAAAAAATGTGCATCTTAATATTTTTGCTCTTTGGGTTGAAAAGAATAATTTATTCATAGGGATGTACAGTGAAAACAGTAAGGAAAGCACATGGTCCAAACAGATATGCCTGTCGTGGGTCACTGGTCCTCGAAGCTTTGCTCTTACTCACACACACAGGATGTGTAATCTGTAAATTGCATCATGCTCCAAAGAATGTTGGTTTTGAAGAGTGTTTACCAAGACACATGAGGGAGGGCGATGTTTATTTGTGAAAAAATAAATGATTATTTTTTCATAACAGTGTCCATGTATTCAATAATAACTGACATAAACTTTAGAAACTAATTACTATGATGCATTCGACACAGCACAGTGATTGGTGCATTGTAAATGCCTACTAAAATGCTTTTTTTCTTCATACCTTGAGTGTTTGTCATCAGTAACAGCCTCTCAAAGATAGATCAAAATGACAGATTTAAGAGAGGTGATAAGGACCTGCAATATACATGTGTGACATTAATCCTTTGACTAATGAAGGAAGGAAGGAAAGGAAACAGGCACGTACCTACTATGTGCCAGGCACGGCACTAAGTGTTTTATACATATTAGTTCATTTGATTCTCACAACAGCTCTGGGAGGTAGGTGCTATTGTTAACCCCATTTTACAGTTAAGAAAACTGAGGCAGACAGCGGTTAAGTGATTTGCCCAGGATCACATAGCTCAGAAGTGTCTGAGGCTGGATTTAAATTCAAGTCTTCCTGCCTCCAGGAGGAGCGCCCTATCCTCTATGCCATCTACCTGCCTCTAATAAGAAAGGTGCAATATCTTCTTATGACGATGTCTTTGTTGGGTAGCAAATCTAAGCTGTTGATATTTGAGGAATCCCCCACCCCCGCCCCAAACTGGGAAAGAGGCAGCCTGGTATAATGAGTGAAAAAAATACATTGGTGGTAAGATAAAAATAAAAGATTAAGTCTCTCCCCGTCCCCCCACCCCCAAAAGCAAACAGGCATGTATGCTATAGGGAATTAACTGAAATATTCAGAAATTTTGTCGATTTGAGTTGAGTTCTAGTTGTAAACAAAGATGAGCATCCCATCTCTGAGATCAACAATCTCTATGGAGGAAGGTGTTCATTCCATCAATTCTTCTTCTGAAATATTAAGTCTAAAAAAAGCCAACTTAATGTTTGGTTTGAGGTTTAAAATAATAGAGATAAATGGAAGTACAATTTGTGATGGTTTTCTCCTCTTTGTTAACTAGTTTAATCATATGCCATCCCCCATCCTTGAATCCCTTGGCCTCTTACTCTATCACTGTTCATGCCTTGCTAAACCCCCAACCCTGAGTTAACCCTATTACCCACCTTTTCTCCTCTTACTCATAGATTGTTGAGGCCATTGGAGCAAGTCATACTGCTGGGCTGTAACTGGTCCATTACAAATTTGTCATCTCATCTTAATTGTGCCTTCACTACTGCAAGATAATTCTTACTTGTTGATTCTGTGTCTCCCTCTCCAAAGAAAGTTTTCCCAACCTTCTCTTTTTTCCTTAAGCCTCCTAAACTACCTCTTCCCTTTCAGTAGAAGAGGCACATATTTAACTGAAAATTAGAGACCTGTCCAAACTTCAAAACCCTAATATAGCATCCCCTAGCATTCCCTTCTTTGCTTTAGTCTGACAGAAAAGGGGAGGTCTTCTGTTGGCGAAGGCCACATCTTCTACGTGTATCCTTGACCCCATTTCCTCCCATGGCTTCTATGAGCTTGCCTCTTGGATTCTATTCTTTCTTCTCCTCCATCCTTAAAACCCCAACTTGAATCTCCTATGCTCTCAAGATCTCATCCCACTGCTCCCTGTTCACAGAAAATCCCTAAGAAAAACGGTGGACACTTGTTGATTCTCCTTCCTCACTCGCTTCTCAACCCAGGTGAAGCTGCTTTCTCTGAAGTTACCCACTAACTCTCTGTCTGAATCAGATGACTTTTTCCTCAGTCCTTTGACCCCAGTGCAGTTTTTGACAGTGTTCATTGACCTCTATTCTCCGATACTTTCTTTTCTTGTAGCCTTTGGGATACTACCCTCTCCCTTTCTCTTCCTATCTGAAAATTCCTTTGCCAAGTGATTATTCATGTACTATTCTGTATCAAGACATTCTCTTCTCCTCCTGCCTCAAGGCTCTGCCCTGGGCCCTTTTTTTTTCCTGCCTCTTTCTACCCTCTCTTATTGATCTTATCAGCTCCTATGGGGTCATTTATCACCCCTGTGCAGGTCACTCCCTAATTACATATTTCACCCCAATCCACCCCTGAACTTCTGAACTCTAGTCCTGTATCACTAATTATCTTACCTGCTGGATATCTCCATCTGAATAGCCAGTGCACTTCTCAAACTCAATGTCTAAAGTGGAGCTCATCCCTTCCTTTTGCCCCCCCCATCCTTCTTTCAAACTTTCCTGTATCTGTTAAAGACATGATCAACCTTCTAGTCATTCAGTTTACAAACTTGGAGTCATCTTTGACTCTTTGCTGTCCTTTACTTCTATACAATCAACCAATGAATTTTGTCATTTTTCCTTGCCAACATCTTTTGTGTTTGTCTTCTCTCTCTTATATACATCTGTCTTTTTCTCTCTTGTACAAGCACTATCTTAGTTCAGGTCCTCATCACCTCTTGCCTAAACTATTGTAAGGGTCTCCTAAGCTCCTTAAAGCACAATCCTGACCATGTCATTCCCCTGCTCAGGAGTCTTCCGTGGCTCCCAGTTGCCTCTAGGATAAAATCTATGCTCTGTTGAGAATTTTACAATCCTTTACAGTCTGACTCAAGTCTACCTTTCTAGACTAATTTTGCATTACCCCTTTATGTAGGTGCCACCTTACCAAACTGGCCTACTTTGTTCCATAGATTCATCATTCAATTTCTGGGCTCCATGCCTGGGAATGCTTAGCTTCCAGATCCAATTCAGGGGTCACCTTCTAAGAAAAACATTCCTGATCCTCTTCATTTTTAGGAAGGGAGGAAGGAACTAAGCATTTATTAAGTATCTACTATGTGTCAGGCACTATGCTAAGTGCTTTATAAATATTATCTCATTGGATCCTCACAATAACCTTGGGAGTCAATTGCTTTTATTATCTCTATGTCTTTATAGTTGATTAAACTGAAGCAGACAGAGCTTAAATGACTTGTCCAGAGTCATCTAACTATTGAACTCAGATCTTCCTAACTCCAGTCCCAGTACTCTATCTACCGTACCACCTAACAACCTCTTTTTGGTTCTCTCTATCATTCCTTAAATCGTGTTATAGCTATTCATTTGTTCAAATGTTTTTAGTCTCTTTCCCCCTAGAGAATGTAAGTGGGGCTTGGGACCCCCCCCCTTTTTTTTTGGCTTTTGTCTTTATATCACCAACACAGAGCCTGGCTCATAGTAGTTGATTAGTAAGCACTTGTTTAATTGAATAGAGGAGAGTAAATCGTCATTGAATTAAAGTTTATGTAATGTGGTTCTCATAGATAATCTTAGTATGTCAGTGTGAAGACATGCTATTCAGAGTGGGCAGGGGCAGGGCAAGGGGTAAGTACTGAACAGTTGACTTTAGTGAGCATCGACTAAAATTGTTCCTAACTGTAATTTGTCTGCTACAAATGTCTCGGCTAAAAAATGTTTTTAATTTACCCAGGCCTAGAAAATAGATACAGTAAGATGAGAGTTATTGCCTGGATGAATTTTGGTGGTTCATTGGTTTGTCCAACACACACTTTTGTTGTGTGTGACGTTGAAGATGGGGAAGAAGAATTAAGATCCATGATAACATGTAGTAGCCTAAAAAGAGGGAGAGCGGAAGAATCTCATTTGCATGTTTGACTTTTTTCCATTGGGGGAGCATAAGACCAATGCCAGGAGTGTGTAGTTAGACCACAAAAGAGAAAATGGCATGATTCATCAGCCTGGTATTAATAATAATAACAACATATTTATTGAATACTTGATGACTTACAAATACTTTCCTCATAACTCTGAGAGAAAGAGGTGGTTAATTATTGTCACCATTTTTAACAGATGAGGAAATTGAGGTTCGTAGAGGTTAGTGATTTTTCCAGGGTCACATAGCTAGTGTCTGAGACAAAATCTGAACCTCAAGGCTTCTGACTCCAAATCTCTCATTCTTTGATAGCTTAGGCCATCATGAATGAATATTCCTGTAGCATATAGAGTGCTGTCCCACATTGCCTTGTACCAGCTGAAGCTTTAAAGTTGTAAAAACATGATGCCATCCACAGAGGCTCACCGCAAGTATCTAACGTTAAAAAAAAACCCTTTTCATGATGTTTATATTGAGCAGATTTTATAGAGTGGTTTGGTTTATACATGTGGCTTGAATCAGACTGCACCAACTTCCTTTTTATTCCCTATGCCATTGAAACTTTGTGTAATTAATTATAGGTAATATGGAGGAGAAAACTTCTGTTAGTTGTTTGGGCTGGGAATAGGTTTTAGGGCACTAAGGAAAAAGATGAATATAT